CCCCAAATAGTATAGGTAATTATTTCTAAACCCTAAACCCTACATCCCAATTATTTAGGCCCCTATAAGTAGGTTTTCTATAGGTCTGCATGTGGCTTCGGGCCTTTAGACTTTCAGGCTCCCAAGGCTGTGAGAGAGGGTTGTCGAACCCTAAACCCTAAACCCTTCGGGTTTTGGGGTTTGGGGCTTTTTTGGGGTTCGGGGTTTTGAGGGTTTGTTGGTGTAGGGCTTTAGGGGTTTAGGGTTTAGGGGATTGAGTGCTTTTTAGGGTTTAGGGTTTCTGAAGGGTTTTGGGGTTTTGTGCTTATCATGGTTCGGGGTTTTTGGGGTTTGGGGGTTCAGGGCTTTAGGGGTTTAGGGTTTGAGGGTTTAGGGCTTTTTCGGGTTTAGGGTTTCTGAAGCGTGGTTGCCATGCTGCAGCGACGTAGCTGTAGAATTGTTCCCGCCGCTGTTGTGTAAGATATTTTTGTCGCAAGGCTTTCCTAACCCTGAATCCTGCATTCAATAAGTTTAATGGTTTTGCCAGGGTTTTGGAATGGTTGTAGATGTAGAGGTTTAGGGTTCAGGGTTTAGCATTTGTGCCGACTCTTGGGCGGTACACAGGGATCATAACATGAAGCCCTCGGCATGTCGGTAAACAGGCTTGGGGCGCATTACCTGGGGTTTAGGGTTGTGGTTCATTGTGGTAGTCATTGTTGTTGGGTGCTTTTGCGGAACCTGACATGTGCCTCTCAAACAGCTGAATCCTACACCGCACAGGCCTTGCTGTAGGGTGTAAGGGGCACACCTAAGTTTCACAGCCAGATGTACTAAATCCTGACTCATGCACCCTAAATCCTACACCCTAAACCCTATGTAAAGCATGACCTTTTGAGGCGCAAAACCCAAGACTTGGACCACCGGAGAGAACCTAAACTCTAGGAGCTTTAAACCCTAAAAAAATCCAAAACCCCATACGCCAAAGCCCATAAACAAACTCTTCCATAAACCCTAAACCCAAAGCCCTAAACCCTATAAAGCCCATAAACTAACTATTCCCTAAACCCTAAACCCAAGGCCCTAAACCCTAAACCCTATAAAGCCCATAAACTAACTGTTCCCTGGACCCTAAGTTTTAAACCCAAAGCCCAAAACCCTAAACCCTACAAGGCCCATAAACTAACTAGTCAGTTGAACTCCGAATCCTAGAGCCGGCTCCCAAGACTTCGAGAGAAGCTCGATGGTTGAAGCTTGGAGGCTAAGACAACCGCTGCAATCTGATGGGAAGAGGCTTTGGGGTTTAGGGTTTAGTGGTTAGGGTTTAGGGTTTAGGGGTTAAGGTTTAGGGTTTCGTGTTTAGGGTTTAGGGGTTAAGGTTTAGGGTTTAGGGTTTAGGGGTTAAGGTTGAGGGATTAGGGTCTAGGCGGTTAAGGTTTTAAGATGAGAGTTCAGAGTTTAGGGTTGCGGCTTAGGCTTAGGGTTAAGGGTTAAGGATCTAGGCCAATTGCTTAGGTTCAGGGTTTGGTGTTTAAGAACGCCGACCGATTGTTTGGGCCTGAACCCTACGACTCCCGAAACCAAACCCTATACCCTAAACCCTAAACCCTAAACCGCTCAAAAGCTCGACAAGCCTGCAGCTCACCTTCTTCAGGAGAGCTGAAGCCCTAAACCCTAAACCCCAAGCCCTGAAACCAAAGCCCCAAACCCTGAACCCATAGCCCCAAACCCTAAACCCCTTTAGATTGGACCCGAAGCCCTAAACCCTATAAGCCCTAAGCCCTAAACGCCAAAAACTCCGAGTCCTCGTCGTCCACGAACTGAGAGAAGCCGCGGAAGTCCATGCCCTGCGCCGGGTTGCAGCCCACCTCGGAGCAGATCATCACGTACTCCTCCGCAGGCGTCAGGGTTTAGGGTGTAGGGGTTTTAGGGTTTAGGGCTTAGGGTTTAGGGGTTTAGGGTTTAATTAGGGGGTTTGGGTTGTAGAGCTATCATCAAGTACTCCTCCGCAGGCAGTTTAAGGGTGCCGTTTTGGTGCGGCCCCATGACAGTGCCTTCCGCTTTAAGGTTAAGGGTTGAAGGAGCAACAATTGTTTTCGGAGCTCTCTAGTCATATATGGCACGTAGCTAAGGGTGTTGGATCTGGAATCTAGGATCCGGCGCAGGTTTGGGATTTAGGGTCTAGGAAGCCCCTAAACCCTAAACCCCAAACCCTAAACCCTAAACCCCAAACCTTAAACCCCAAACCCCAAACCCTAGAACCCAAAACCCTAAAGTTTAGGGTTTAGAGCCAGGGTGAGGCTCTGATAAGTCGTAGCTTTCACAGGCTCTTGTGTGATATGCAGGGTTTAGGGTTTAGGTTTTAGGGTTTAGGGCTCGTAGGTTTTAGGGTTTAGGGTTCCAGTGAGTTGAAGTCGAAAACATATTGTTTGGGTTGGCTTAAGGAAGTTGGGGCTCGCAGCCTTCATGGTCCACCTTAAGATCCTCCGCTAAAATGCCTGGCCCTTCATTTGAAAACCCTGTAAACCCAAGACTGCAGACCCTCGCCGCATGATGCGATCCTCTTCTGGACCTCTGGACAGCTTTCTAAAATTAGGGTCGCTTTTACTTCCCAAAGAGAGTACGGCACCCTTATAATAAGCTGTTTTATAAGGACCCTAAAAGGCCCTAAAAGGGACCCTAACTTAGAAAACTACCCATATAGAACTCCTGAAAGTACCCTTATAGAAACCCTTATAGATCCCTTTAAGGACCCCTAGAAGGGACCTTCGACCCCCAAGCCCGAGTGATATTCTTCAGACCTCTGCACAAAAACCCCTAGCTTCCTTTAGGGTTTAGGGTTTAGGGTTTAAGGTTTAGGGTTTAGGGCAGGGACCAATCCGGGCATGTTTGGCGGCCACGTGGCGCACCCGTGCCGTCCAAACCCACAGCACGCCAGAAGCTCAATCAAAAGCTGCCTGAGTTTACCCGTAGGCCCTATAGTAGTTCCTTTTTGGGGCTCATATTTAAAATCCTATTAGGTAATCCCAACCGGGAACTACTATGGGGCCTATGGTAGGGCCTAACCCGAAACCGTAGTTTAGGGTTCCGGTTCCGTGGTGAACCGCATGCACTTCCAAGGCCGCAGAGCCAGACGGCCCAGGATAATCCGATTTAGGGTTTACCTGTAGTCTCCATTGTAATTCCTTTTTGGGGTTGCCTTTTAGGATCCGGAAAAAACAAATGGGGAAAATAAAACCAGCAACTACAATGGAGACTATAGGTAGAGCTTAAGGAATCGCACTCACTTCCTCTGCGCGAGACACCTCCTAAATCGCCAAGGAGCATTGCAAAGCCAAAACCCAAACAGCTAAAGTTGTCCCAGACCTGTAGACGGAGCCCGTATAGAGCTTTTATAGGCCGTAAACCCTAAAGCCGAAAACGCCGAAAACCCTAATCCTTGGCTTACATCGAAACCCTTCAAGAACTCTACTACCCTATATCAAGCCCGAAAAGCCTGTATTGAATGAATCCTTACTGCTCACCCACCCTACGCTCAACCCAAAACCCCTACACCCGTACACCCCAAACCCCAACGCTGACCTAAAACCCCCCTGTTCTGCGTGTGGCTGAAGTACAGTTCCCAACGCGCACTCCTCGCGCCGCACACCGGGCACTGGAAGAAGTGGCTCGGGATGACCGCCTCCTGTGGCGCCTGAGGGATGACCACCTCCTTGTCAGTTCGCTGGCGCTTGCGTCGCCTGCGCTTCGCTTCGGGCTTATGCTCCGGTACTGCCTGCTCCTCGAGGTCATTGTCGATCTCAGGTAGCGGAGTTTTTTGCGCATGCGCCCATGGTTCTCCCCAAACCCCTAAACCCTAAACTCTAAATCCCCAAACCCTAAACCCCTAAACCCCAAACTCCCAAAAATCCAAAAATCCGACAACTCCCAAAAATCCGATAAATCCCCCAAAATCACAAAAACCACCCGGCAGTTCGCCCTGTCCTGCGACCACTCTGAGTCGCTCCCTTCGAAGCCAAGCTCTGAGGCCAAACCCCGGAGCTCCTGCGAAGGATTGCTTCTTTTAAAGGGGTGTTAGGTGTTAGGGTTTCGGGTTTAGG